CCCAATTCCAAACAAAACCGATCAGATAGCTGAAATTTACCACGTTGATTGAAGATAGTTAAGTGTGTAAATGCTGAAAATTTCAAGATTATCGATGAACATCTTGAGTGCAGAAAAAATATTAAATCAATTTGATTTTGCGAAGTTACTCAATTCAAAGAGGGCAATTTTTGAAACATTCCCAACTCCAAAGTAAACGTAGAAGAAATATGAACTCGCTCATGTTGATTGCGGGCAGTTTAGTGCGTGAAGCTGGGAAAAGTTCAAGCAAATCCAAGTTGGGTTTGAAAAAATTCGGAAACTTGAATATGTAGTGACTTGCTTAAAAAGGGAAAAATTTTCAAAAATTTTCCAATTCAAAGAAAAAGCGATTACAAACCTGAAATTTGCCACGTTGATTGACGATGATTAGGTGCACAAACTCTGAGAATTTTGAGATTATCGAAGCACAGCTTGAGTAAATTATTATAAACCTGAGTTTCTAAGGTTGCTCGAATTGAAAAGGACATATTTTTCAAAAATTACCCAACTCCAAAAAAAACGAGCAGAAAGCTGAAATTTGCTACGTTAATTTAAAATTGTTAAGTGTGTAAACGCTGAAAATTTCAAGATTATCGAAGCGCAGCTTGAGTAAAGAAAAAATCATAAACCTGAGTTTTAAAGTTACGCGCTTCGAAGAGAACAATAAAAAAAAATCCCAACTTCAAAGTAGGCGTCGAAAAGACATGAACTCGCCCCTGTTGATTGAAGCCAGTTTAGTGCGTAAATGATGAAAACTTCAAGTAAATTCACGCACAAGTTGAGTTTCAAAAAATTCGGAAACTTGAAGCTTGAAGAAGTGACTTGCTTCAAAGGGGGCAATTTTTCATTCAATTTGCCAATTTCACAAAAAAACGAGCAGGAAGCTGAAATTCTCCGCGTTGATTGACGATGCTTAGGTGCTTAAATGATGAGAATTTCAAGATTATCGAAGCACAGCTTGAGTAAATAAAAATTTAAAGGGTTAGTCTGCAAATTTACAAGCTTCAAAGACGACAAATTTTCAAAAAATCTCCGTCTCCAAACCAGCTGCACCAGAGCAGTGGAATCTCACACACCCATTGAAGATGGTTTAGTGAGTTAATTCTGAAAATTTCAAGTTGAAGATCATCTTCGACTAAAGTCCAGCATCCAAGGAAGCCAAATGATGCGCTTTTGCTTGTCCTGCCCAGTACACCTCAGACTTATTTAATTTATATGAATGATTGATAAGCGTTCGTCAATCCAGTTTTTGTTTAATCGCTCGGCTGCAGGACATTTCACCGTAAACGGTTGCATTAACATTAGTTGCTAAAAATACCCGACTGTTTACTTATCTGTTTGATGCACCTATGTTTGTCTTTGCAACTTTTAATGCGCCATCGGCAAATCCTGCAAATAATGAAAACAGATAAGTGGGCAGAATTACGATTGTATTTTTTTCTATCGTTCGTTCACATCGCAGTTTACTGAACGATTGTCGCCGGTTTCTTTATTCAGTTTTTCTGAAAACCGATCGACGATTTCGTTTTTGCAATAAACTCGGTCTGTTTGCTTGATTTTTCCGGATATTGACTGGCAGGAGTTCGTCTATAACGCAATTTATGTCAATGACAGTCGATTGATCAATCCGTATACCAAACGGCTCTTCATTCGAGTAATTAAACTCGTATCAGCACGACCCGTTTAAATTAATTGCCCGCTTATGCAAATGTTGGCCAATT